GATGATTATTTTATTGTAAGATTCAACAAGATATACCGTATTTCGTTCTTCTCACATTAGGTTTGCGCAGGTAGTGAATAAACATACTCACTTACTTAGAAAGGATGTGAGCTATCAGTACTTTGTCTTCTGTAAGCGATTTGAAAGTTGATCTGAAAATATCAATGAGCATATAAAATGAATAATATCGATGAAACGAAGGGAATATTCCACCGAAACACTTTTTAAGGTCGATCTAATTGACTTTGAGACGCTACACAGATACTTCACTCGTATCATTTGAAGTAACCCTCTACATCCTAACATGAGTATGCATATTCTCCATACTGTTCTCTATACATTTCCTATGGTGCAGACAGAAATGGTTTAAAAACAAGAGCTGCTTTTATTAGAGGTAATTTTCCAACCTCGTTCCCAGGTCTCTCATCTTCCCGCCCCCTGGAGCGAGCGAGGAGAGGGCGGGAAGATGAAAGACCCTGGGAACAGCGTTGATCATTTTCTGTATTCTCGCTACCTTGAAGTCTGATTCAGGAGTGAAACTGAAGGAAGAAATTAGTGCTTATTACTCTTAGAATTAAAGTGCAGCACAAGTAGTGAACCAAAATGTCAATAAATAGTAGTGCCATTAATGCCAAATCAGAGGCACATGATTTAGGTAAGAAATAAGAATACAGCCGCACCTGTATAAGGAGGCACCTTATTTAGCGGTCACCCTGTATTAAGCGGTCGGCTGTCAAAATCCTAAATCTGTGTTCCTTTAAAACACTGTAACCACCACCTCTATTAAGTGGTTGTGGTCACCCAAAAACTACTTCACAACAGCCTGTTGGTGGCCGTCGTGGAGAAGTGCAGTTGTGGAGAAGTGGTTGTTATGGGGAGGTAGGATTAAATGTATGGACAGCCCGCTGGGACCAAAAGAGTTTCCGTTGTGGAGAGATGGCCGTTAGTGGAGGCTCGACTGCGAGATTTTGTACACTGTCGACCCCGCTTTTCCCCTTGGGTGACCACTAAATACAGGTGCGACTGTATACCGTGACACAGCCACCTAAGATGCATATACCTCTAATTGGTGAGATTTCCCTTACAGAACATCGAAGAGCAGTTTTAGCTTTGAAACTTTAAGTACTCACATAGCATCCGGGGACCATTTTTTACCATTTGCGACCACGTCATCAATTGGCTCCACATTCCCCAAGAAACATTCGAGAGCTTGAAATGGAAGATGGAGAAAGTGGGGGAGCATGCGCTTCACGTGACTGGCACGTGTCCACTCAGAGTTACCATAGTCCACAAAAAACACCTGACAAGGAAAGAAACACATTATAAAAAAACACAAGGTCCTCATACAAGTGTCGTACAATTAGAATTGAAGCGGTCTAAAGGGCCAATCAGAAGAGAAGAAAATGTCACGAGGAGCCAACGAACAAGTAAACTACCTAAAGCGCGGAAAAACGTTGGTGACCAGGAAGCGGTTACTTTTAGCTTTGCATCTGATTGCTTTAGAGAGTTTTGTGAGTTTTGTGGACCAATCAGGGAGGAGTATAACAGAACAAAAATTGAAAATTTCTTCGTCACCAGTAATTTCACTCGCGACTTATAGTAAAAGCTGGCATTTAACATTTTATAACTCATTCTCGTGGATTATCATCCCACAGTATAGGGTTTAGTGCTTTTTAAGGCTAAGTAATAACGCCACAGTCTGAGAAAAAACCTAGGGACCAGTTTGTTTTTCACACCTTCAGCCATGAGGGAGACGCAGTTTGGACAAGAAGAACAAATACATGGTGCGGTATTCCAGTAGATAACTGGAATTCCGATCGAAAGGTTCGGGATGGGGCCCTCGCTGTGTTAGAGGGAAAGAAATTTACCTCCTACTGAGCTACTCTCAAACCAGGAGCAGTGTATGCATTGGAAAGCAATACCAGCAAACAATGTGAGAAACCAGCGCGAGACTAAAACCTTGGTCAGGAGAAGCAGATATACTGCAGGTCTCTTGCTGCTGCAGAGACCGAAATGACTATGCGCGTAAGGCTCGCCTTGGATTTAATCAGTTTTTGAATGCAATGTAACGTGCTAACTTTCGCTTTCTTCGTCGTAGTTGACGGGATCACGGGATATTAAGAAAACACGAAGAAAGGGCAAAATTGGAATTTTTAAAAAGAAAAAGACAGTTTATTCATGCTTTGTGAGACTAAAAAAGAAACAAAATTGTCTCATCTGCATTTTAATCGTAACACTAACAGGTTGGATTCCAAGGATAATAACCATCAACACGACATCTGTTCTCCAGGTTTCCGCGGTACCAGCTAAGGAACGCCTTGTTGATTGTAACGTGGCGCACTTGAATGTTCATCCAAGGTTGGTTCTGAGTACACTGATTATGAATAAAGCAAGAGTCCGCCAAAACTCCTTTGCTTTTAGAGTCGAATATCGAACGCAAAGCCAGCTTAGTCTTTTTTCCAAAATTCATAATATAAGAATATTCTTCAGAATTACAATTTTTAATATCAAAGACACAAGGAACACCAGATACGATGGCTAGTTGCCATGAATCGTACAAAGCGTTGACTACAAATAAACGAGATCTGACGTAGGGAAGAGAGTACTGTGCGAAAAAACAACGCCATTTTTGTTTACGCTTCTGCGTGCGTATACAATCTTGATTTAATCCCGAGGATGAATTATGTAATTTGTATGTCTGGCGAAAAATAGATCGCATTGTTTCAGTTCCATTCAGTGACGGCTCGTCAAGGAAAACACCTGCATCGGCGAGAACACGGAAGGAGGCTTTCGTCTCGCGTCGAAGCCTCCTTCGGATATAATCGGCATGTATGATCGCAGATACTGCACCGGCTGACGAACCAGTCAATATGATCTCCGTAGCCTTATCGATATCCCATCGGTGCAACTCTCGTAAGACTGCATCGAGTATTCGTCGACCTCGGAAATAAAGTAGCTTGTCTTTGAATCTGAAGGGTTTGTCACGATTTCCAGTGAACGATGATCCGTCACAATAAGGAACATAAACCCCAGTCCACTTATAAAAATCTGGGTTGTTCCTCGTTTGGCTCGAGAGCAGTCCTTGTACGTCTGATAAATAACGGCGATAACATTTAGAGGAACCAAGCGCTGTGCTACTTCGCTCAGAGCACGTTTCGGCATCATGGCACCAAGCACCCCCCTGAAAAAACACTATCCACTTCGATCTATCTGACCCGGTTCCATTCCTAAAGTAAATTCCAGGAGGGGAACCGTCGAGACAAACTGCTCCTTTGTTAGAGGCGTTTGTTAGTAGATGTAGTTCATAAGGTCTCTCGACTGGTTCCTTTTCTTTGGACGGAAAAAGTTTTTCAAGAGCTGCGAATACTTCTTTCTTCTTGCCGTCTCGTCTCGCGATCTCGTTACGTTTCCCGTCAATTTCTCGTTCTTTATTCCTACAAGAATCCGTGGGTAAATCATCAGAATTTCCCGCTGCAAAATACCGATAATCTTTCACCGATGGATGGGAAGATATGGCATACGAGATTTCTATGCAGTTTAAGGAAAGAAGACTCAACAGAAAGCAGTAGACAAAACACTCCATTTCTCAGCTAACAGTGACCAAATTATTAAAAAAAATACAATGACACGCTCGAGGAGGCCTTAACATGGGAACCTGCCGAGAAGCTGTCACAATCGCATGCAGCGACAAAAGATAAAATTTTAGCGGGTGTCCAACTAGTAAAGAGAGTTATTTGTCACTAGTAAAGTGATAGTAGCAACCTAAAACAAAGCACCCGTTAGACTTAGTACGCTAAGCCACGGTTTGTGAATATCAGCCCTTTACACTTTCGCATCAGTACGCACATTCACCACATTGTTCTCTCTATTCCACAAGGTGCGGACAAGAAGAATTTGTTCAACGATATCAAGACCTTCTTCAGCTGGTAATCATTTTCTTTATTTCCTGAGAAATAAGATTCTAGTAACTCTTTGGGGCCAACAGGTTACATAAAAAAAGTCTTCATTTTTCAAGTGTCACGCACCGACAGAATTGTTTTGTTTTACGTCGATATTGTGGTAAAAACAAATCGACAGTGGTTTAGCGTGCTCTGTACTGTTATTGACAACTTATTCGATTAAATCATTCGTCATTTGTGGTAAAAACAAATCGACAGTGGTTTAGCGTACTCTGTACTGTTATTGACGACTTATTCGTTAAAATTATTCGTCATTTGTGGTAAAAACAAATCGACAGTGGTTTAGCGTGCTCTGTACTGTTATTGACAACTTATTCGTTAAAATTATTCGTCATTTGTTGCAGACTCAACAACATTTAGCCCAAAGTGATAACGAATACCGTTTTCTTTGTTAAATCTATCGCCAATGATAACGCTTAGGGCAGGTTGGGTTAGATGCATAGGAAGAGCGGTCGATCATAAATCTGTCTTGTTCCCTTCCACGATACCAGTCGGAAAAAGCTTGCGCGATCGTAATATTTCCTACTTCAACTTGCGTCCAATAATCGTTCATGGCGCATTGCGTGTGAGCTAAGCACGCATCTGCAAAAACTGCTGTCCTCTTAGAGTCAAAAATCGAACGCAGAGCATACAAAGTTCTCTTGCGAAACTTCACAAGGAAACGCAACTCTTTTGAGTTACAAGTCTCCACTTTGACAACGCACGGGATGTTTGAGAAAATAGCTAATTGCCAAAGATCGTTCAAAGAGTTCACAAGAAAGATAGGCGAGGAAAGAAACGGTAGAGAATATTGCGGAAAGAGACAGCGCCATTTATACTGACGCTTTTGCGCACGGAGACAAGCTTGATTTAAACCTGTTGAAGAATTATGTAAAGAATACATCTGTTGAAAGACTGATCGAGCTATTATAGAGCCATTCAACGACGGTTCGTCCAAGAAAAACCCAGCGTCTGAAAGTACCCGAAAGGATACCTGCGTCACGCGTCGTAAACGAGATCGGATGTAATCGGCGTGTATGATAGCAGATAGGGCTCCAGCCGATCTACCAGCCAATATTATTTCCGAAGCATTTCCGATGCCTCTTTGAAGCAACTCCTCTAGTAGAGCATCCATTATTCGGTGACCTCGAAAATAAAGGAGTTTGTTTTTAAATTTCAATGGTTTAGCGCGATTTCCAGAGAACGACGCGCCATCACAGTACGGCAAAAACACTGACGTCCAGTTATAGAAGTCGGGGTTGTAATTAGCTTCATTGGAAAGCAGTCCTTCTACTTTGGGAAGGAACTTGCCGAAGCATCGAGAAGAACCAAGCGCCGTGCCACTTCGTTGATAGCACGTTTCAGCATCATGACACCAAGCACCCCCCTGGAAAAATATTATCCACTTCGATTTTCCCGAGCCGCTTCCCCTACGCTGGTACAATCCAGGAGGGGAACCGTCGAGGCAAACGGCGCCCTTTCGGGGACCTTCCAATATCAAATGAAGCTGATGAAAATTATCACTTGTTGTATCATCCAAGTTCGTTGCCTTGACAACACTTGGAGGAAATTTCTCTTCGGGCAAGTTTTTTTCCACTTTGGCTGTATTTCCTGATAAGTTCGTGAATTGTGCGTCGATGTCACCTCTGTCGATTCCATCTTTGTCGTCATAGCCATCGTTACAGGAATTGGTTACAATGCCCTCAAAATTGCCCTCCGCAAATTGCTGAAGATCCCAGTTCATGGGAGGCAGAGGGACCATTTCTGAGGATAATTTGTGAACAAGAATGTATAGCACTAACGAAAAGTAACAGTAAAACATGGGCATCTTTTCTTCAGACGATTCAGTGACACACGCAGAAAAAGTCAGAAGGCAAATCGGTGGGGTACCAGCTAAAAAAAAACAGGTAACGCCATTTAAGAAAGGTCGGGAGAACAATGACACAAGCAATAAAGGAGAAGTTAAAAAAAGGGATACAATTTAACAGGTTGTAACTTGCATCATGTTAATAATTTAATATCGGGGTACCAACGTCTAATAAACTTCGAACACAACAGACGTGAGCGCTATTGTTAGACACCCAGTTCCCTCCCCTCGCTCTTACTCTAAGATCCCCACTCTCTAACAAGCCCCTGTCTGGAGCTTTTATACCCTCGCCTCTTCTTTGCATTTTTATTCCTGTGGGCCGGGTAGCGATAACTCGAAGAAGGTAATTTCCCTTATCATAATACAACACAGAATTTTTAAGTGTGTGACTACTGAGCTTGTTCTGATGAAATTGATTACCTTTAAATGTCTGTTTTCTACATTCTACGAATACAACAAGAAAAATTGACATTATAAAAAACCGTAGCTTGCGTAGCCAGGCTCATAAAGGAGAGAAAAGGGAGGGGGGAATAAGTGACGAATGGGATAAAAGACTCACTCAATTTTCTAGAGTCCACCCTTAACAATCTGTTAGCGATGACTGATCTCCTCTCCACTCCCCCTGGAAACGATGTGCTCTTCTCCAAAACCCTCCCTCCCCTGGGCGATAATTAATAACTGGTCCCTTATGAAACAAGGTAAAAATTACACGGCCAGAATTCAATTGAAGTAGTAAGCTACTGTTTGGAGCGAAGTTGCCCAATTTACCTGAGCTCATCTCAGCGATAAGCGAAATTACTATTTGCCGTACACAACACAGCAGTCAGGCATGCGCAAGCCGTGTGCCAATTTCTCGCGCACAATTTTAAAAGAAACGTTAGAAAGACCAATTGTGACGCAAAATATGCAGGGAAAAAATGCAAAGTGCATAGAAATCTGTGCAAAGAAACGAAAGTAGAGAAAAGGAAATAATATGGATATATCAACAAAGTTGAAATGGTAAATCAGCCACCGTAATGATTACAAAAGCTGACGTTTCGAGCGTTAGCCCTTCGTCGGAGCGAATAGAGGAATTGTGGGTTGTGTGTGCTTTTAAAGGCAGAAAATGGAGCTACGTTATTGGTGGGAGCATGGCAACGAGAAAAACATGAATAAATTAGTGGAATGAAAAGCGTTCGTTGATCCCTGTGGGATTTAGACTGCCGGTTTGAAAGATGAGCTTTTGTTCAAGAGAAAAGGAAAGTTCGAGACTTGTCGACCACTAGGTCCTTGGAGATTGTGCTGTAAAAGTAGCATATTAGGCTACTCGCATTGCTCGGCTTTTTTTCCAAATTATGCTCAAAATTATGCTCGTTTTTGCAAATCATGATACTTTTTCTTTAAGTATGCTTTTCAACAAAAGAAACACGAAACAAGTTCAAAATATATATCTACTTTTGATAAAGAATGACTTCCTTATTTTGAGTTACATACTTGCTCTGACAAAACATAATTAACAACTGCGCTTAATTCTAGGCTAAAGGCGGTGACCTTCTGTGTCAAAATGCACGATGTCAGAATCACGATTCTTTTCGATGCCAGTTTGTTGCCTGTGAAAGCGGGGACTGGAACCGACGCAATCTTTACTTCCAGTGAAAATCTTTTGTCACGCCTCGCACTAGTTAAATTCGCCGTTCTGATCTGCTTGGGGAACTGAAGCCTAAAATTGATATATTTTTTTTTTGCATTCATTTCGAGTTAACTTTAGAGAAGTAAGATAAAGTGTCGATATTCATTTTCGTTCTCTTCATGTTTTTTACGAGGAAACTCGATTTGAAGTTTTCTTTTTCCCGCTTTTGCGGCTGTAAGACCGCCGGCTCAAAATGATTAGCAGCGGTCATTTATTACATCAGTGGTCTGGAACCAACTTGAGAAGGCCCCCTATCAAGGTACAAAGCTAAGAGCATTTCGCCCTCCATTTCGCAAATATGAGAGGTGTGCAGCCTTTTTAGTTAAAGCCGACGTACGATCCTGGTGAAGAACCAGTAGGCTCAGACGAAATGGAGGCAGAACCTCAGATCGATTCTTCTTCGAGGATTGGAAACGCAGAATGGTGTCAGTTTTGGCGGTGGTCATTGCATAGCTATGCGCACGGTCCACGAATGCTTTTGTTGTCAAGAACTTGAGGAGTTGAATCGGAAGTTTGATGAATCAGGTATGTGTCCGATTGAATATTTATTTTTTCGTATTGAAGCGCAAGTAGTGTTTACCGTAAGTACTTTATTTTCATGATTTCAGTGAAACAACTCGGTAAGTCATTACTGTATTCACTGTGTTACTCGGTGTAGCTTCTCTTGTTTACTTCATTTTCATTAGTTCAGTGTAACAAGTTTGAGAGTCAGACTTTTACACCCGTGGCTTACCACATTTTGTATTTCCTCTCCCAACAGGAGTTCCTTGTATGACTGAGCACTCCAAATTCAGGATTGTTTGCCTCGATACTGATGTGCTGTGTACGGCACTTATCGGTATTCACAACGCACGCTGTTATCCTATCCCGGACCCCATTGAGAACGCGTTATTTTCAATTTTTTTTCTTTTACAAAAGTCCTTCATGCCTATTTTATTTACCAACGCTTTGCAGTAACTTCTTATACCTTCGTATTACCGTCGATACTTTCGTTTCTTTCCTTTTATTCATGTGTGTTTTCCTTTATTTTATTGAACGCGGCGCCTGGCATGGGTCCACGGTGTCCTGGGGCTGAGGAATAGGAGAACGAGTCCAGCGTGCGTTGTGAAAGCCATACGCAACAAATTTCCTGATGCGAG